AGAAGTCTAACAGGCTTCTGTAGTAAAAGCAAGTAGCCATCCCATATATGTAAATAAAGTTGTAATGGGAAAGAATGCTTCATGAAAATAGTAACTGCTTTCATAATAAAATCCTTCATAATTTAATCCTTCCATTAAAGTAGGATTATCTTTTCCATTGACTAGTTTGACTTCTTTTCTCCTCCCTTCCTTACCTTGTCTCCATTAAGCTCACAGTTCAGGAAATGCATTTTTAATCACCTTCATTCCCCAGCCTTGCACTCACACACTGACCTTCCTCATCAGAAGAATCAGGACCCACTTCAGCATATGTTCACAGAATCACAGACTGGTGGAGGTTAGAAGGGACCTCTGGAGGTCATCTTCTCCAAGCCCCCTTGCTCCAGCAGGGCCACCCAGACCCAGCTGCCCAGGACCACAGCCAGACAGCTTTCAAACACCTCCCTGGGCAACCCATGACAATGCTCAGTTGTTCACATCAAAGAAAAAAAAAAAGTTTTTCCTGATGTTCAGAGGAAACCTCCTGTGTTTCACTTTGTGCTCACTCTCTGGTCCTGTCACTGGGCATGACTGACAAAAGCTTGACTTAGTCTTCTTTGCACCTTCCCTTCAGGTGTTAATACACACTGATAAGATTCTGTGTGTATCCCCCCACACTCACACCTTCTCCAGGCTGAACAGCCCCAGCTCTGTCAGCATTTCCCCACAGGAGAGATGCTCCAGTCCATCATCTTAGTGGCACTTCACTGGACACTCTCCAGTATATCCATGTCTTCCTTGTACTGGGAAGTCCAGAACTGGACACATGTTTGGTCACTGTATTTTCTCATGCATAAGTAATAATAATATCTTCTATTGGTTTGAACTACATTGGCAGGAAAAAGCACTTAATGGACTTAGGCCATCAGTCCCTAAGCAGCTCCACCATAACTAAAATACTCAGAAACTGGTTAATCATTCTTTGTCTGAAATATAACTATCAAGTTTAATAGGTGCTCCTTCCAATTTGAGCCAAAATAGTAGAAAAAAATAACATACAGCCTCTACACAGCCTGAGGAAACACATCCTTCCCTCACATAAGCATATTCCAATAGTGACAGTTTTGTGTAAGCATCTCCTGAGGCATTACAGCATCTGAAGAAACCATCTTAAGAGACAAAGATGCTTCACTTTGACAGTGTGCTTACCAGTTTCAGCCTGAAGGAGATTACACAGTCATGTCACAGAAAGGATGGTTTTACAAAACAGTGATATATGCATTAACAAAAGCACAACAAAAGGGTTACTATCCAGAAATCCTGAGGGCTACGTGTAGCTGTTATAAAACACACATATCCACCCTTAGGAGTAATCAGTCATGCCCTTTGGCTCTCCACCACAATTGCTTTATCAGGAAAGATAAAAAGAACAGCACCTCCCATTCAGTCACACTATCAGCCAAAAATAACAGTCTCATTTTTGCCATATCTTGCTCACGTAACTAGTCCCATCAGTTTTTCCAAGAGACATGTGGCAAATCCCAGGGTTTAGGAGTAATTTTATTTTTAGCTTCTTTACAACAAGACTTCCATGACCCAAGCAGGTCAGTGCTGTACACTTTAAAAAACCTGCCCCTACCAGTAACAGATTATATGCCAAAACAAACGATGAGAACACACTATAGTGATGGGGACACAGCTGAATGTGATCCCAGCTTTGCAGCAAGCATGTTGGATAATCCACTTCTCCATGCTTTTGTTCTTCCTTAAAAACTGAGTATTTTCTAGGCACATTGTAACGATGGTACAATGCCATTCTCTGTAGGAAAAAGCAAGCTGTCCACAATGGGAATGGAGATAAGCAAAACCACCTCCCTTCCACTGTAGCAAGCTGTTAGTACACTGAAGCTGCTAAGCTATCTTGTGCAAACCCTTAAATACCCATATTATCTACACAGCTATCCAGGGCATTTTCCTGACCCAAGTAAACATTTATTTCCAAGAACACCAGTGGGAACCCTACGGAATTATTTTTTGACCAGATGTTTTGTTACTGTAGCAAAGTCAGATACATGTAGCTAGTACTAACCTATATTCCCTCTTTTTTCTACCAGCGTTTAAGATCGGGCAGTCACTCCTGAGCAGCTTCCTCTAAGCCAGGTGGAAACATTCAACTTCAGATCCCAACTCTTGAGGCTCACTCTGTGTTGAGACCTTAGGGTGCCAGCCAAGAGAAAAGTCAAGCCTGGCCAGATACAGTTTCTTTGTGTGTAGAGGATTCTTTCTCTGTAAAGGACATGGCCTTCAGCTGCAAGAATTCCTCAGCCTCAGAAAAATCAAACTCTGGCTCCCTGTCAATGCCATCATCACTCTTGTTAGGCAACAAAGAATCCTAAGAAGTGCTGTGCAGCCATATGATATCGGTGACAGGGTACATCCAATACAGGATGCAGTAAGAACAGACAAAGTGAATCAGTTTATCCACAGCGTGGGTGTATGTGCAGCTAAGTGTTCCCTCTGGGTTGCTGCAAGCTCACACTCAAGCACGAAACTGGAATTTACTTTGTATCTGATAGAGTAGTTAAATTCTTTCAAATTAAAACAAAAATATTTAAGGCATTTGCTTTTAAAACCTATCTTTAGTGAGTATATTGTTTAGGTACTTGTGCCTTAAAAGTTTTAACTTGACAGTTCGGCTTCTTAGACACTTCAGGTAACATAACTTTAAAGCTGTCAGTGTGAATTCTTTAAGTGGTTCTTGCCAGAGCCACTCAGTTTTATATTATACATACACACACACATATTATATATGCAGCAAGTTTACACACCAAATCAAAACAACCAATGAGAGGTATCTCTGGCTTCCTTTACTAGCTAACTTGTAACTTCCAAACCAAACACACCTACATTTTCCTCCCAAAAGCATAGGTCAGAAGTGTCAGATACATTGCAAAAACTTTACTTTCTGTAGAATGGATAACACTACTGAAACTACTGTAGACATAACCATTACTGTAGCATGTTCTTTAAAAGGTTTACTGTACCACTACATATACATTGAATCAATATATAATTGAAGATAGGATTGTTAGCAACATTAACTGTGATTGTGTGAGATTTTAAACTTTAGCTTAGTAACTTGACAATATTTTATATTGAATTCATGTGTGCTCTTATCTTGCAGCAACAGTTAATAATAGAAAGGATTACAGGTATTAATCAACCAGGAGCACAAATTCGACAGGAATAATAAAAATCATAATCAGCTCCTCAAGTCCTTGGATTTAATAAGAAAACCGAAGGTAATCCCATCTAGTTAAGTATAGATTTACGGGAGTAAATACTTACCTGCAAACAGGGCTGTTCATGTCATTGACAGGTAGTTTATAGACATGCACACAGAACAGAATATCCACCTCCACAACCCAGCTGCTACTCTTAAAACACATCCTTAAGTCCTGCAAGTCTTTGGGGATTGCTATCGCACATACTTACATAATCACTCACTCCATTTTCTAAGCCATCAGCTAAATCCTAGAATACAGTTCTCAAAAGCAAAAGCTTCAGAGCAAGTGGGGATAGACTCTCTGCAGGATGAAGAGATATTCTCTAGTTCTAGGCAAGCTTCTGTTTTCTTCCTTTAAAACCAGACTTTCAGACCCCTTCAACTTTAGTGAAGTTCATTACCAGATGGTTAAAATTCCACAAAATGGCACAACATAAATGCAAGATGCTTACACTGTTCTCCAAGATTGCAATTTAGAGTGTACAGGTTTTTTTATTTATATATAAATATGAACATTTTGTTTAGTGCTGTGGTATGAACTTTTATTTTCTTTTAATCTGTATTACTCAAACATACACAAGACATCATTATGGAGGACAAAGCTGTATTTAAAAAACCACAAACAATTCCACTTCTTCAGCCTCAACAGATACCAGATGAGGATACCTCAGCTGCCAGTTCCAGCCAAAACCCACTTTACCACTGCCAGCTTGTTTCCGAATTGAAAATTCTGGACAAGACACTCAAGTAGCCTCAGATGTGCCTATAACAACCAGTCTAGACTAATTTCATCAGAAAAAGCCCCGATCTGTCAGTTTTATATTCCTGACATCTCCATCAGGAATAATACTAGGCTAAGAAACAAACTGAACACTTCCTGCAAAAGTTGAATTTTTTTTTCAATTGTATATTGTTTTCAACATTCTATTTTAGACTAATTGTTGAGTTAAAAGTATTCTCACACAGTTCCCCTTGTATTTGTTCTCACTACCATTCATTTTAGATTTTCCAGATAAAATACCATTTCAGATAATTTAAAACATTTGAGACCTTTTCGCTCCTGAAAGAAGGTTGTAGCAAGGTGGGGGCCAGTCTCTTCCCAAGTAAAAAGTGATAGGACACAAAGAAATGGCCTCAAGTTGTGCAAGGGGAGGTTTACATTGGATATTAGGAAAAGTTTCTTCACTGAAATGGTTGTCAAGCATTAGAACAGGCTGCCCATGGGAGCGGTTGAGTCACCATCCCTGGAGGGATTTAAAAGGAGTGTAGATGTGGCACTTAGGGACAGTGGTGGCCTTGGCAGCGTTAGGTTAACAGTTGAACTTGATCTTAAAGGCCTCTTCCAACCTAAGTGATTCTATGAGAAAATACAAGAAAGGCAGCCTCCCATCACAGTGGTATGTGATCAGCAAGTGAGAGAAACTTTCACATTTAAACTCTGCCACATCCATCATGACTGAAATTATGGTTGCTCTGAAGACATGTACCTACATTTCAGTAATTCTGCAAATCTGAACAAGAGAAAAACATTTTTGGTCACTGTAGTTGACAAAAAAGGCTTTCAAGCTCTTGAAATAAATATCATGGCAGAGTGTTGTCACCTTCGAAAGAAGTCATATTTGGGATCCAGTTTCTTTGTACAAAACAGATTAAACTGTTTCATTGAAACTGCAGTAAATACAAATATAAGGCATATGTTTCTCTTACATTGAAAATATGGAAACTGACACTGTACCTTACTGTCCTCATCTTCAAACACAGACTGGTGAACATTACAAGCAAAGAGAGAATTCGGGAGATCGTTGAAGTCAATTATTTCATTAAAATCTTCTTCTGCAAAACATCTCTTTAAATCGTTGTCTCCATTTATAGAGTAGAGCAAGAACTGTTCTCCATCCTCCGGGATGCAGCCATAGTGACCGAGGTCTCGCATTCCAAAGAAGTAGGAGTCTCCCCTCATCCCTGACAGCATGAAGAAGAGAGACACAGTTACACTACACTTTTAAGATAACATACACAAGTTAACCCGGAAATTCTTAGTTTGGGGGCTTATTTTGTAGAAAGTATATTTCTTACTATTTTAAGATAACAATTGACCTCTGAAAAAGGGCACTAAGACTAGTCTAGTTTCATCAAGGCTCAGATAGGGACTTTGTTTTGATTTCATTTATTAGCACAGAAAAGACCTAACCATATCAGTACAAGCTGCTGAACACAACCAGAAGCAAGGCATTTCTTAAGCATCCCTTGCCCTAAAAGTTGTGTTTAAGAGAATAATTGTTACTGGGAAGGCAGGCTGGTGCTTCTGAGCTCGCAGTCAGCTTAGAGAGAAAGTATAGTGTGCAGGGCAACAAGAAAATTAAAATAACTTTGAAAAATACACTAGGTGTCCACTCAGAGGAAAAAAAAAAGATAAGAAAGACCCTGTTGGAAAGTAGCATGAACACAGAATCATCAAAAAACACAGTATAATTAAGACACATCACTATTAAAGAATAAAGCCTTTTTTTGTACATTTTAAGGACAGAACATACCCTAGTTTTCCATACCTATTAGCAATTTCTTTGTGTCAATCACATTAAGCAAATTAAAAAAGCTAAGGAAAAAGAGTAGACTCTAGAGATGATTCCCACCACCCTTCAGGAAAATCCTGCTGACTTCGAGAGCCTTTACCCTAAATCCATCCGAGTAAAAGATCATTTTAAGATGCACAGAAGTAACAAGCTCATACATCAAACAGTATCCCTACTGTTGATACAAGAGCAAACTTTGTACCATGCAAGGGTAGTAATTAGAAGTCCGATTAATTATTATTATGTGTTAATTAGTATAAATTCAGGTACTTATCAGTCCTTAGTACAAGTATATTAGACATCAGCCTATAACCTCTACAGAGCTCCAGTAAGCTGACTAGAAGCTGTACAGAAAAATAATTAATTCCTTTATATTTTTGTTTCTTTCAGTAACAATATGCTATCATTGGCTGCTTTTTCTCCTCATAGCATAAGGAGTTAGGGAGTTACATAAACACAGTGTGCTCATCTGTTTCAGATTTGCCCTTGCTCTACTGCATACTTGCCATTCTCTATAAATAGTTGTAAATATTAGCTCAAATACACTATTTAGGGCTAGTGTCCAAAATTAAACCCTATGGGCTTATTACGCTTAATCTCAGTAAAGCAAAGCTAAATTATGGAGCTAATTTGCCATGACTGTGCCTTTCATACAACCTCAATCCTAGTGCTGCTCTGAAATGACATTTGGCCAACAAAAGAGCGTGTTGTTCCATAACCTTATGTTACGGAAACACCAGTAATTGTTATTGCTGAAGTCTCAGGGCTAACAACAGAAGTCTTCAAGAAAACAAGCTCAAGTCACGCTCAAAAGCATGACGCTGGAGCTCTGAGCCCACGCTTGCCACTCTTTCAAATCACATCAGAGACCAATTTATGAGCCAGCATTAGTCAGAACAACTAAGGTTGGAAGAGGCCTGCAGTGGTCATCTAGGCCAAACCATAAGGTCAGACCAGGATAATTTAGGGCCTTATCCAGAGGTAAATGTTGTACAGCAATACCACTCATAGTGCATATAATGATCTGCAGAGAGCTGACAGGTCACAAGATCCTAGCTGTCCTCCTTTTCCAGGTACTAAAATATGTTACACAGCTAAAACCAGAATAGTTTCCTAGTCCTGTATTCTATGCATGTAATTTGTGAGTGAGGGGTTAAAAAACAAGCAAGGATGCAGTGCTGTAAGCAAGCAGGTGTAGCATAAAAACTCGGGCCAATTACCTCTTTTTACATGTCAACCTGAGGACAGGTTTTTAGACTATCAAATACACAATCATTTTCACCAACTTAGTCTGATATTAGCACAACTATCTCCAAGTAATTTCAGTTTAGGAATTTAATTGTAACTGAAAAAAAAAGAAAAGCCTGAACAGGTGGCAGAGGAGATGGCTACAACGTCAACAGTACATATTAATGTAGTAGGAACTCAGTATCACAGCAATATTGCCTCTGATATTTGAACCAACTCACTTAAGCCTAGAATTACCATACACATCAGTGTAAACATACCAAGATAAATACTACAAAGAAATCCTCACAGCAGCTACTACTGAGGAATAAACAAATTCATGTGTCACCACACTAGCAGAAAATATTAATAGATCATCTACTCCAAATACAATCATCCCTCATTGTGTTTGCCACCACATCTAGCCTGTGTCAAGATGAGATTTGTTGCTTTTAGGTTTATGAAAATTAACCTCAAGCCCAATGTGTTACAAAAAATAATTTACATGATAGAGCAGTCTTTTGCCAGTCAGTATGAAGTATTTCATTCACAGCAGGCAAACTACCTGCAGTCAGTGACGATACTGACTATTTTACAGTCACACTGGCAATAACCCTTCTTCCTCCACAAGCATTAATCTGGAAGAGTCCACTCAGCAGAGGGGGATGTTTCAAAGCCAACTTTACACAACTGACTCAAGAGGATAAAGATGACACAAGCTATTACTCAAAAATTGTAGGAATTTGAATTACGAATTAACACTCAATAGCAATACTAGTGAGAAGAGGTGAGATTACATGGAGCTGAGAATAATGAAGTTTAAGATCTACAAGAATGCCCTAGGACATAACAAACCAGGAATCTGCTGACTGAATGGAACTTAGAGTCAAAGTAGAGCAAGAGAGGCAGTATCTCTCTCTATAGTGGCTGGTTTCTTAAGATGCACTTTTTAGTCTAATCAGTTTCACTTTCACTGTAAAGTATAATAGGAATGTTAAAAAGATGACTTCATGGCAGCTAACAAGCTTCACACATCCGCTTCCCCAATGAATAACAAAGATACTAGGGTGTGCAGGGAAGTAAAGAATCTCAATATATCAATAGAAGTCAGAAGAGTCTACAGGTTTCTTCACTAAATGGTTTATTTTTTTTTCCTCTTGGGAGAGCCATATTATAAGGTACTAGATAGGAAAAGAAGCTTTTAAGTTAAGATTTAAACAAAACCACTACAACAAGCAACAAAACAGAACAGGATTTTAAGTTACAACCATGAAGTTCGGTTTTTAACCACCTTAATTGGCAATAAGGAAATGAGCATACACTATAGCAGGCGATTCTTCAATATATAGGCTTCAAAGTTCCATCTGAGATTAGAAATTAATAAATACTCTTACATTATGTGGCAGTAGTTCTGCTCTGCTAGAGCTCTTTACCAAGAAAAGCTTGTTCCTTTTTTCAGTCAATTCTTGAGACCGATTTGCTCACCAAGATGTGGGTATTGACCAAGTTTCCCTAAGGAAGTCATTGGCTCGCATGCCTTTTGACCATCTCTTCTTCAAGACTTGTAGGCAGGTGTGTATACATGCACATGCCTCTTCTACACTTAAGATATACCCAGAATTCTGATCAGTGTTCCCTCCACTAGCAAGTCAACTTACAACACCCCGATTATTATACCTCTGCTCAATTAAAGATGAGATCTGCACAACTACAATACAGAACATCTGTATGGAATAACTACTGATTCACAAATTTTAATTTGCTATACAAGGGCCACATACTGCACAATATTATGCACAGCACCACAATTAAAATAGAAATCTTACTAATAAAAGACATATATGATCCCCAAGAGAAATAAACTGCCTATGAGCCCAAGATCAATGATAATCAGAGAAGGCAAACATACCTGAATCAACATTTCTTAGCACACTTCAAACCCTTGGGCTGTAAATTCAGACTCTGACTGGACAAATGAGCACTCGTGCCAAAAGATGCAACATAATCTGTCATGCACCTCAGGCTTCTCACTTCCAACACCAGTCACCTCCCTGCAGACAGGCCCCACGCTACCTTTGGTAGTGGAGAAAGCATCCCCTGCTCCAACTCATGGCACAACTGCCCAAACTGATTTGGTTAAAAGAAAAGGCCAGGCCTAAGGAAAAAAGTTTAGGTTTGACTCCATTAGGTAGATAACTGATTTACTTCATGGCTGCATAAATATTCTTAGCAACCAGAAAAGAGGGCCAAGTCTGGCAATGGACAGGCAACAGCAAAATTTAGGACTGTACTTTTCAGCAAGTAACCTACTTAAAGCATTCATGAAATTATAATCAGAGTTTTCACAGCTCTGCATGAACTTCATAAGTCACCATATCAGAAGTTATCTTCAGTCAGTCATCAGCTGGAAACCTTATCTGTTTCTGCGTTATAAATAATGTTACACCTATACAAAACAAATCATAACAACATACCCTTTATTGTGTCTGTCAAACACCTTAAGTCTCAGATATTTTGTTGTTGGTAGCATTTTGTGGCTTATTTGAATTCACTTAGTTACTTCAGGCAGTCCTCTGTCAAAGAATATTCTCCTTCCAATTATTCCATTAATTTAAAACAAAAGAATTTTCATTTCAAATCCCTTAAAACAATTAATTTTAAATCACGTATAATCCATGAACTGGATTGCCATATAAAATAAACCCCAAAGTTATGTTTTATGTAACTATAATACAATCACTGGATCACATTCCTATTTATATTAAAGCTCCTTTTCCACAGCTTCTGACAAAATAAGTGACTGTCCCCTCCCTTATGGTCCTGTTTATGCCATCAAAAACCAGTGACATTCACACATGAGGAAACTGTACTCATCTTACTTTTAAAATGTAATGAGTTCAAACTGACTTCTGCATTTGCTTCTCCATTCTCAAATCAGAAAATGTTTCAAATACTTAAAATTCCAGAAGCTGTCATACAGAATTTCAAAAGAAGTGCCAATGCCATGAAAAAATAACTCAGTAACACTAAGGCATCATCCAGCATCAATAGTAATGTTAAATTCATTCACCAAGATCTTAACTGCGACCACACTGGTAACCGCAGTAGCAGGACTGTTCCCTTTAGAAGGTTGAAATACTGAGACAGAAACAAACCCGAGCCCAAGCTCATGTAACCTCCAGCTACTGCCATTTGTAAGCTGTGTTCCTATGTTACTTCTGAATTTGGTGTAGGGTTTTGATCCTAAACTTTCAAGACAGAAAATACATTACACAGAACAGAGTACTCCAAGCATGCAGTACTATTAATCCTTGGAAAACCATAGCAGCCACTACCCTTCCAGACTCTGTGTGGAATCTCCTTGTCACTTTTGTGGAATTCATATGCACACTTTGCATCACTTTACACTGATTTAAGTTATTTCAAGTTTCTCCTCTTGCGGTGCAAGAGCTTGTAACTCTTCCCACTGGAAGAGAGTAGGTCATGCCAGTGTTCAACCCTGTAGAGACTGTAACCAAAAGCTCTGTAGAGATTCCAAGTGGGAACTAAAGTATTCATTCAGTTACCTCACTATTTTTAGACATGGTACACCGCTTATTAAAATTAACAAAGACCAGCAGGAAGTTACATTCATTAGCAAATAGCAATAGCTTAGTGAGGTTTTTATTTGAAAAACTGTTATCAAGAAGGATTGTGTCTTTAGTATAAAACTGAAAGGCCAAAGATGTACATCTTGTTATGAAGTTAGACCCCTACAGAGAAAAGAACTTCAGCTGAAGTTTTGCTGAATTAAGACAACTCGAGTAAATTAAGTATCTGAACGGACCAACGCCTTATACATCACCGAGCACGTATAGATTTATCCACTGTTTTTATGGAAACTAACAAGGCATTTCCTTGGTGACCATTTTCCTGTCCTAAGTTTTTAAAAGGAATCCCTGAGGGACATCAAGAAACAGGCACGTATCTCTTGAACTTGCTAGGAAACTTTACTTTTTTTTTATTAAACACTGCTTGCCATGACAAACAAAATGACTAAAAATAGAATAAAGCAAACAAAATGTTACAAATAGAAGATTTAAATATAATCACTATAAACTAAAAGTATTATTGAGTCCTGAGTGCAAACCTGGAAACCACAATCTACAGGAATTAAGAAAATTTGGGGAAAAAAAGAAGCAAGAAAAGTTGCAATTGTTTTTCTAGAGGGGTCCAGAAAAAGTGTAAAACAAAAAAACACCACCAAATGACAAAGACCAAGTTTTACCATAATCCAAAGAGGGGGGACAGGAGGAATCAAACCCACTGAGTAAAATTTTACTGAAGCAATCAGTTTTTACTTAAAATAGTTACTAACTTAACGAAAGCAGTGACACCAAATTCTGTAGCAGTAGCCTAAGGATACAACTCCTGCTTAAGTCAACTGGACCCATGCTGAAGACTTCGGCAGAAGGCACGAATGTAACAGGGAAGTTCAGACAGCAGTAACCCACTGAAATCTCATCCCATTCTGCACAATGAACACTGGAGATCAGTATTATTTTTATATGGTGCTAATTCTTCACTATGGAAAGCTCCCATGGACTTAAATGGAAATATTTTACTTAATTAGAAAAAGCAAAACAGGACCTCATGCGACAGGATTAATGAACTGTTGCAGTCTCAAAAGCAATAGAAACTATAGTCACCCCTTCTCTCAGCCTTCACCCCTGCATCTCCCACCTGGGCAATGACGATTCCCACTTATAAAAATTACCAGTACAGTGAATTCCACTCACATTTTAACTCCAATTTGGTTAGCACCACACAAAACCAGTGACAATCTCTACTATTCCTCTTATGGAAGTGGCAGATATGAGGAAGAACATTTTTTTTTTTTTTTTAATGCTAACTGGTGCAAATCCCAAATGTTCTAATCCTTTCCATTGACATTCTAGCTGTATTAAATTTAGCTGAGACTTTGCAACTATTTTTGGAAGCTTTTAACATCCAAAGGGACTATTCACTTTTATTCATCTAAAGCAGGGCTGGCCAGCTCAAGCAGTTCAAGACCTGCATATTGCTCAGAAGGCTCAGCTGTGCCTCCCATGCTAGGGGTGTATCCTATGATCAGTAAAGCAACTCAGCTGGCACTGGCTTGCTAAACCCTGGAGAAAACAAACCAGCAGACACTGGTGCTCAACCCTACTAAGCCAAGACACCAGCCCCATTCCACAGTAGGAAGGTGATACTTTGAGCAACCAATGCCAGGTGTGAAGATTTTAGGTGCTATTCTTAAGGTCGAGAAGCTGGGCTAGGATTAATCAACCATTACCAAGGTAACATTAATGTACTCAAAGAACAGAAAACCCTCCCCACACCCAAAGAAACCAGAACAAGCTATTACCTTCACTTGGCCTCTATGCTACTCTATTTAAAGCAAGACAGTTTTATACGGGGCACCCAGTATTACAACGTCACTGGCCTTCAGCCACATCCATCACCTCACACAGGGGTCAGTGGAACACTCATCTAATAGCCCTCTAGCTTGTAACATAAAATTCATAACTACACCCCAATTCTTACCAAGACCTACTTTCCCTTCCCCTGTTGGGAGGTAAAAAAAAAAAAGAAAGAAGCCATGAATGTCAGAACTACATGCAATAGGAACTGTTCACAGTGTTTAGCTCCTAGAAGATACTCAAGACACCGTGATGACTTGGAATAAAATTTCGAAGTTTCCTTGAAAAGTATTTTCTGCTGGTACACACAAGCGATTTATAACTTAAGAAACATTAAGGACACCAATGCAATGACAAACATTTTCAGTACAATGACAAACCAAGTCACTGAATGTGAATACACTCTACAGCATTTGGAAGAGGACAAACTAGATCACATAGCTGACAACTCCTCAGAAGGTTAAGGCGAATGAGATAGCTCCTGCTGTTAAAAAAGAAAGGTACCAGTTACTAGTATCAAAGTTGATAACCTACAGAAAATCTTCTTCTGCCCTTGTTTATTGTGAGGCATTTTTTTTTTATTGTTTTATATTTTCATAGCATTCAGATTTCCACCTGCTCAAGAATGATGTGCGACCACATAATTTAATTTTACTGCAAGAATAAATGCCACCGAGTTTCTTTGCAGTAATTATGTATTTTCATACAAAAAGAATTTTCCTTTTCTACAGAGCAACCATTCTAACTAGGTAAACAACAAAGAGCAAACCAAACTGTAAGTGCAGAACTTGAAAGCCTAACACAGAAGCTCGGGCAAAGGATAAGCCGTGATTAAACCGAAATTCTCATTTTTATGATTTTTCAGCTGTATAAACCTATATTATTTTTTCCTTTCAGGAAACTAGAGTAAACTCCAGCAGTAAAGGGACCGAAATATTTTAAAGAGATACAAAAGCACCTAGGAGAGGTGGGGAAAAAAAAAAAAAAACAAACAAACCAACAACTTTGGCGAGCTACCTGTTATATAAGCATCAAATAACACCGGTGTGGCACGCCGCAGCGAACTTCAGAGCAGCCCAGGCGGAGTCTCCCTGGGGGATACGGGCCCCTCTGCGTTCCCGCACACCCGCCGGGAGCCGCGACAGGGCTGCACCCCCGCAAGCGCCCACCTGCCCGGCCCCGACACCCGCCGGCTGCAACACCCCCCTCGCACGCGGGGACGCTCCCACGCCTCACCGAACCCCTCCCCACCCGCGGCGGACGACAGCCCCTTGCCCCGCAGGACGAGCCGCCCCCACGTTCCCCCCCCGGGCCATTTCCAGCCGCCCGCGGCGGGGCTGCACGGCGGGCACCGACCCCCCCGGCCGGAGGGCCGGCGCCCACGGGGGAGCCCCGGGCTCTCCTCGCGCCCGAAAAGCCGCCGGTGAAGGGAGCCGCGAGGCAAGAGCGGGGCCCGGGGAGGTGGGTAGGACCGCGGGCGGCCGCAGGGAGAGGCGGCGGAGCCGTTACATAACCCCGCCACGGCGGGCGCACGGCGCCAGGTCGGCGGGGCAGGGCTGCAACAGGGCGGCCCCGCCGGGGAAGGGGCCCCGCCGGCGCTGCGGCCCCGCCCTCACCTGCTGCAGCGCGCTCGGCCGCCGCCTCCCCTGTCGTCGTGGCCGCCGCCGAGCCCCGAGGACCGCGCCGCCGAGCCCTTCAGCGAGCGCCGCGCACCTCTCGCCCGCCCGCGCCGCCGAGGCGAAGGTGGAGGACGAGGCGGGAGGAGTGAGGGGAGCCCGCAGGCCAATCGGCAAACACCGCCGCCCGAACGGGCGGGCGGGGGCCACCAATAAGAACGCGAGGAGCGGGATGGCCCCGCCTCCTCCCTCCTCTGGCCACGCCCCCCACCTCCCGCCGGGTCTCGGTCAGCAGCGGGAGCGGGGGGCGGGCAGCGGCCTTTCTCGCTCCGTGTGGGGACGGGAAGGCCGGGGAGGGGGAGCTCAGGTCTCCCCCGGCACCCGGCGAGCGGTAGGAACCAGGAAAGGGTTTGTGTCCTCGTTACTAGTGCGTGGCAAAGCTTCCCTCACCTCAAGGTGTCAGCCCCCCTGCCTTGAGGTGAGGAGGGATGCGGTGAGGTGTGGGGGTGAGGAGAGGTGAGGTGAAGTGGGATTGAATAGGGGTGAGGAGGGGTGGGATGGGGTGAGGAGGGGTGTAGGGGAGAGGTGGGGCGGACACCGCACAGTGCCAGCACACCACGCCGTGGTTTTAATGACAAACCTCCTCATCCCACCCCACACACACACACCCCGGCCCGGTGATTTTGTAGGGGGCCTAAATGCCTCTGGGGCATGGAGCTCCCAGCTGCCGTTCCCGCTTCTGACCACCCATACCCAAACTGGCCCTCGAAGCAATCTGGAAAGGATCCAGCCGCCGTTCATCTGTTCTTCAGACTAACAGGTGAATAAGGTGTATCTCCCCGCTGAGGCCAGGAGGTGTATCTGTGGGACCCTTAAGGAGTGTCAGGGTCACGGTGGAAAAAGGCTGATCGTGGTCATGATTTTAAAATGAAGAAAAAACATTCAGGTGCCCCCAAGGCATGCTTTATTAAAAGAAGGGCTATTTTATCTTTTCCAGCTGTCTGTCCGAGACTGCTAAGCATCAGAAGCTAATGCTGATTTTCCGCTGTCTCTTTGCTTTGGAATGTAATACAGAGGGATTTAATCAATAGGGTGATACAGAAATGTAAATAGGTTTCTGTAAAGATGACTTTGAAAATCTATAGATTATAATGGAGAACTAGAAGGCTCTCATATAATTATTAAATACACTATTAAAAAATCCACGGAGGGAATAATTCTCCATTAGTTAAAAATATATAAAAAGATGTATGCCACTTATAGCAGCATTTTCCAATAATAGCAGAAAAAACTGTTGTAATGAATGAGATCAATGGTGTATCCCACCTCATCTCTGCAAATACCTAAGAGCAATGCATCGTAGATTGTTGTACTCACAACAGAAGAGTTTCTTCCTGGTTCCATTAACTAAGGACTGACATGCCTTGATGCATATCTGGTTTAGACACCTTCCAGGATTCCTTCTTTGCTTCTATTTTTAATACATAGTAAGTAACTGATAGTCATAATTATTATTTCTTGTTGTTTTATCCTTGTGCCTAAAATATCAGTCCCTGACTGTGATCTTATTGATTTAGGCTAAGCAGAAAAGAAAGCAAGCTATGGAACCAAAGACGTCACAATATAAACTAATCGGGTTTTAAATCAAATTATGTGTTTGTTCTTTTGGGGTTTGTTTTAAGAATTAAACCTGGTAGGATATCTTCCTTTGTCTCCATTTATATGCATCTTACTTTACATGATTTCTTATTTTACATGATTTCTTATTTTAATATTCTGAGTGGGAAGAGCATCCACTGTGCTTTTTCTGTCCCACATTTATGTTATACAATTTCCTTGTGTCTTCTTATCCCCATACCTCTTAACTGTGTCTTGTTCACAGTAGCCAGTTTCAAGGTTTTGGGTTTTTTTCATGTTTTCATACTGGGAAGAATATTTTCATTGTGATGAAATTCCCCTAGTGTATGCTTTCCTTGTAGTCAAATGAGAACCTCCACAGTTATGAAAACAAGCTAATCCACATTCAGGAAAAATCAGGGATGCCTAAGTCAGTGCTTTGGCTTTTATATGCACCCAGACATTATTGATATGATGAAGGGGGAAAAAAAAAAAAAAAAAACAACAACAAAAAAAAACAACAAATTCCACTGTTCACTGTTTGCAGTAAAAATGTCCTTCAAATTAGATAATAATGAGAATGGCAACAATTGCAGGGGTTTTAATAGTAATGTTGTAAGCATTAAAGATTTCTATTAAGAAAGGTAACAGGATAATAAATTACTTAGACATGGAAATGTGGCACTGGAAAAATAAGAGAGTAAGAGCAACTGAGCAAACATCCTTCTTGGAGTCACACCGTTTACGCACTTAGGCCCCAGTGCTGTTCAGGCCATGCAGCCTGAGTAGGCACCCTGTGCTTCCTAAATGCTGTGGGCACCTTCCCACAACCCAAGTAGTTGTAGAGTGCCAAAACCTGGAGGAAGCTGAAATTCTGGAAAGGATACCAAAGGAGGTGATAAAACAGCTGCTACTTGCAAGATTTGCAAGCAGTGCTGTTGTCCTGCTCCCACAGAACTGAGTGGGAGTTTTGTTACTGATATCTCAGAGCACAGGCTTAGCCCATCTCATCCAAATCCTGAGCTGCTCATCTTCTCCAGTCTGCACCTGCTTCTTATCTACAGATTTAATCTGTAAGCAAAAGCAGCCTCTCAAATGCACTAAAGCAGCCACGGTGAATTTTAACACAACAACAGTACTGTAACCAAAAGGCTTTGGCCCCTTATGTTATGCTGATTTCTGATCATCAAAATACAAACATTGACTCACTCCCTCAGCCTTTGCAGGAGCTGTGGTGACAAAGTTTTCTCTTTTCAGAATAAATGAGTAAGTAATGACTCAAAATTTGTAGATTCTCAAGAAGCAAATGCTGCTTCTTTTACATTTCTGCTCACAGGGATAATCCCAAATTCTTTGGCCAGATATGGATTATGATTTCTTGCAAATGGCTGAATCTGGAGATTAGAGTGGGTAAAGCAATTAAAATTAATGTTGACTCTATCAGCATTAACATATCCTTGATTGTTTCTGTTACTTTTTTAGAACATAAAACCACAGTTGGATCCATCTAGCACTATATCTTGTCTCCAGCTGCCAAGACTGGATGTTTAGTAAAACAGTGTGAAAATAGAACATGTATTCTTCTCCTATTTACCTATAAACTAGTGAGGTAGGGACTTCTGGAACTCAGGGTTGTATCCAAGGTAATAGGCTTAGTAGCTGCCAGTGGTCCTTTTCTCTAAGAGTTTGTCTTAACTCTTTTTGAGCCTGTTTGTTGTTTTGCTTCCTACAATGTGCCATGCTGTGGTAGTTCTTCACTGTGTAAAAACAATTTAAGGTCTTCTTCCTGATTGTTTTATTAAGTGTTCCTTTGTTATAGAGGCAGTAAATGAAATTTCTTGTCTGACCTTCTCACCATCATTATTTTCCAGACTTTAATTGGATTTCCCTTCGACTATCCCTCTTTCAAGCTGATGGGTTTTTCTCTATTTCCACTGTAAAACTTTATCACCACCCTCTCTATCCTTTCTAATTTTACTAGAAAACACTACTTTCTTTAAAACTTTGGTTCTACTAAAACAACTATTCAGTGGATCTGGAATAGGCAAGAGCTGTATGGCCAAGGAACTCAGAACCCTGAGCATATGAGCGATAGAGTCCTATGACTTTGGGGGCTCACTTGTCATCTAAGGTGGGAGCTACTAATTCTTAACATTCAGTTCCCCTTTTTGACCACTTCCCAGCCCCACACTAACATTTTCAGAGAACTTTTCACTTCAGCCTCCAGATCTCCTGCAGCAAAAGTGATAGCTGGAAACAGTGTCTATATATGTATAATTAGGGTTATTTTTTCCCATGTGCATTACTTTGCACTTATCACCACTGAATTTCATCTGCTATTTTATCACCCAGTCACTCAGTACAGTGAGACAACATTGCCACAACACCTCTTCAGTTCCATCCTGTATGTGTATAGCAACTGCAAAGCAGCTTAGATACAACGTATTGCAGATGTTTAAATAAAAATATGCAAAGGAAAGATCATCTTGTTTTTGTTTTGTTTTGTTTTGTTTTTTCATTTATCTACAGATCATTTTTCACAGTTCTGGGTGCAAGATTAATAATTACACCAATGAAAAATTGCTGCAGAAAAGGAGAGTATCCTTCACTTGCTGTAAAATTCCAGTGCCCGTAACACTCCTGCATGTGATACTCCATGAGCAGGTTGGTCGTGGAGCAGGGCTGTTCCCTTCGTCAGGGGTTTGGAGATGCAGAGAAGCACATGCTTCAGCTATGCACAGGGATGCTGGTTCTCTCCGAATCTGTTATGTGGGGGTCAGGCAAGAGAGGAGAACCTGTGGCACCACTCCGGGAACCCCAGAACTCACAGCCTTGCAGTGGAACAGCCCCTGCATTTGGCTCTGCTGCTCCCTAAACCCTCTCTCAGGTATATCCCCATTGGTTTTGAGCATCTTCAGGGTCAGACAGAGGTCGAACAGGAGGCTTGTGTCTTTTAAGGCAATGAGAACAGGAACAAAGAGTCTTTGCATTTTCCATCCACTTCTGAGTTGCCTGAAAAAAAAGTCATTGATTTGACATTGCAAAAATTCCGTATCTAGCATAAAGTCCCACAAAACAGAGCTTTATTATCTTACAGCTAACCCTCAGTTTTGAAGACAACAAAAATGCCATGTCCCAATTTCTGGTTAAGGAATATTTTTAACTAAGAGATGTTTTTTTAGCCTAGATGCATGATAGATCAAGGGGAAAAATGGGTTTCATTGACTTTTAAAACAATCTCCATTTCAAGAAAGAAAAAAAAAAAAAGCCTTTTGTCCTTTTGTTCTGTAACAAATAACATCCTTAAAGTACAAGTACTCTCAAATCCAAAATATTATGGCCAGATTTAAATTCTCCCATTTGAATGAGGATGCTGAAAGATGAGGAGGTTTTCATTTTGTTGAAATACATGAGGCATTTAAGATTATTGTTTTCATCTATGGGCTGCCTGTTTCTCCTCAGCTACCATCCCTATGCAAAATGAAGGCAGCGCTGTGCGGATCGCCGATAGTGTGTGTACCTGCTACCAAATCTACAAGCATCTCATGTTGGGAAGTAGAAGGATGACAGACTGCAGAGGTAATATGTTAGGGAAACTCGGTTCCTTGTTTCTTTAAAAGACTGTCTTTTCCTCTTTATGTCCTTTTCCCAGTGAGGTTCTCTCTGCAGAGTCTGCTTATTTCATAATGGGTTCACTAAGGTCAAGGCCTGTGAAAGCTACCATGCAAATTCAAAAGCAGTCTTGGAGGTATAGTCACAGTTCAACAGCATGACTGATGTCAGCTCAAATTCCTCAAGAACAAACTGTGGTTTGCTGCCATGTGTTAACAATAAGAAGCACTTGGTTTCTAGGATTTACTCAATCAAAATATGGGAAGCTAAAACATCTGGCCTGTCAAAATGATCATAAGCTTATAGAATGAATGACAAAGATGCCAGGCAAATAAAATCCAGGAAATGAGCACAGTTTAACCAGAACATAAGTTCAGTCTCTAAATATATGGTCTTACCTTTCTGATGCACTTGATTTCTACCTATTTTTTTAGACAAATTCTCCGGGAAGGAAACAATGTATTTGAGGAAGTGCTAAGCATCATGATGATATTTAGTAAGTAATTCTATTTCTTAGATTTGTGATGAGAATTATTAGAAGTGACTTGCCCATTGTGACCCAAATGGAAATAAAAAAAATGCAGTGAGCCATAGCTGTGTGACCTGAAGCCAAATGCTTCAAACTCATGTACCTAAATATAGACACCTAAATAAATGGCCTGATTTTCAGAAGCACTGTGCAACTCTGAGAGCTGTAGGTGCTCTGAAAAAATAAGATGCTTATTTAGACATCTAAATACAGACTAAGCTTCTGAATATATTATTTAATCTGCTTCAGAATGTAAACAACTAAGAAAACAAAGGTACTACAAATACTATTTTTACATGAGCTAATTAGAAGGCCACAGAGTGTAATCAACTGCAAGACACAATTTATTCCTATAAAGGGAATAGTGTGGTAATTATTGTTTATTAATTGTTGAGAAGTAGAATTTAGGAGCCCTAGTTCTGAAGCAGTGCTAGACAGGTTTGATGGAGAAGTCCATTGTATTTGATTTCTTAACCTTTTATTAAACTTTATCCATAATTATATAGATTGACACAGAAAGGTTTTAAAAAATGTCAGATTAAGATGTTTTGTTTATATTGAGAGATAAAAAATTATTTACATTTCATTCTCTTAACGATCTTAAGGCTTTTTGTGTTTTTCTTCTGAAATCTTCATTCATTATTCTGAGATTTTTTAGGTGACTGTTGAATGCTTAACTGGAAAATCACTGGAAGCAGCAGATTGTGAATGATGAGTTAATTAGTTAGCACATGACACCACATACACATTCAGTTAATAGAAAATAAGCGGCTTAGGCAGGTAAGTAATAACTAAGACTATATTTTTGTGCCTGAGTTGTGCATAGAAATAAAGACTTATACACACTGCCTTTTTCAACACTTCTACTAAGACGTTTTGTTTAGACACCTTATGTTAGTGTATGCCTATATATATTTTTATGTTTATATAATATGGCACAGATTTTCTAGAAATGATTGACAGTTGGCCCCTAGATGGTGCCAGTGCCTATGTACTGCCAGCCCTTGTGCAAGGTGAACACTGGAGATGGCAAAATGGAAATGGGCTTCACAACACAGATATTCTCAGGCAGTCATAGCTTCCATGACATGAGTCACTGCGGCCAAGCAACCTCTGAAGAGTGTCCTTCCACATCAGCCAGAGGGAGGTCTCTGCCCTTCCTCCTGCTCTCCCAGCTGTGTGACAGAGTTCCAAAAGAGATGGGCAGTCCATCCAGGCATTGTGTCCTACCAAGGCATCCATCAGTCTTAGCCTTGCAGTTTTGCACTCCATCTTGAAGCTTTTCAGATATTTAGCAGCCTGTATATCTGAAAATCCTGAAGGCAAGAGTAAGCTTGGCTTACGGCTGAGCTGGGAAGGATGAAACAGGGCACTAGTGAAGTTCCCAGGGAGAATAGGAACAGTAAAGGTAAGTTAAAAGGGAAGGGAGAGAAGAAACAGTGCCTCTGGTCTAGATTCTGCCCTTGGGCTGTTCCAGTGCCACCTCTGGGAGAAGCCTGCAGTGCTGTAAATTCATTATGTAAATCTGTTTGCAGAAAGATCCAGCCCATCAAGACACTCAGTGGCACAGCATGCTCCCCCACTGTGAGATGCTCAGAGGCTCAGAGTCCAGAAGGTGGGACAGCCCCAGCTCCCACTCTTGGCCCAGCTTCCACCTTCCACCCCTGCACAAAGATGCCAATGCTGGCATGTCTCCGTGTGGAGGGATAAATGTATCTTGTCATGTGCAGATCAGTGCTGGCAGGTGTGGTAGCTCAGGGCAGATGCTTTAGTGATTGCAGCTTTTGCTATGTTCTGTCACTTGGATTTGTCCTGGCTTGTGGGTACGTACAGAACTCGTTACCCAATTTGTTCCCACAGACCCATATGCCTACATGTGCAAACTGTGCATGCCCACAAAACCTCTGAACCAGACTGCAAGGCCAGAGTCTGTAAGAAAAATTTAGCAAAGCTGAATATGTTGATTAATACCCAAAGGACAGAATATAACCATCTCCTGCTGATTCGTGTCTTTTTATTATTTTAAGGAACAACCAGATCATTGTGATGAGACTGGCTTTTAACAAAGGGGTGCTTGATTTCAGTTCATGGTGAGCAAAGACCAGTTGCCAGGTTTTCAGATAGTAAAACAATCTTTGGTTTATTTTTTCAAAAGAAGGAACTTCAAACCTCAGGATTAATGTCTAAAAACACCCTTGTAATCATCCTTTTTTATCTATGTATTGTTCCAGTTCTATAAACAAGCTTAAAATAGTAGATGATAATACCAAGATTTGGACAGAAGAAGAGCAACAAAGGCAGTATCTTGAGCTGTAATGAATTACCAAAAGAGTAGATCTCTTTAATCTTGCACTGCTCATCTATTCATTTTAACCTGGGAATCAGACTCGAGTAACCATGTCACAATACTGGAAAGCACTTGATTTTCTTTTGGTATCAAGCAAACAGAAGGACACACTTAATGCTTTCCTGAGCAATGATGGTTTTCAGAATAAAGGCCAGATAAAAGGCCAGTGCATTGAAATTGCCTCTGGATCTGTGTCAGCATAACAAAGACCAACACTATGAACCCACTGAAACTTTTGTGTTTAATTCAAAAGAATGAAGTCAAGCTACGATTGAGACCTCTGACATGAGGAAGAGTGACAGAGCCCTGTCTTCAGCTTGGAGCACACTTTACCGGTGCAAGACTGCACAGCTAGAGGAGTCTGGAAATGCAGTGCTGAAGGACTACATCCACAGAGCCTCACTTGGCTCTTATTTGGGTCAGATGTTCACAGAAATCACTGGGAATTGTCTCTGAGCAAGGACCCAGGAAAAGGTGAACGCCAAATCTTGCCATTCCCTAATTATACTTTATAAAGAACATGATCCTCCTTAGCTTTAGGCTTCTCTGGCCAGCTGTGATTACCTAATCTGATGTCTGCCTTGTGTGGGTTATTATACCTTCAGAAGAGATGTTTTCTGCCTTTATAGACTATCTAAAAGTTGTTTTATGGAAGTGAAATGTCTGTATAGAGTATTTAGGTCTTCAAACATTTCTGATTTATGTTTTGCAGATTGCTGAAAAGTGATCTGGTTGACTTGCCCTCTTCACTCTACGCCAGGAATGCACACACCAGATCAAAAGGTGCTGTTTCAGAAAAATGTTCAATTTTGTTTTCAGGACTATTAATACAGAAATGTAATTTCAGTCATTGGTAAAACAATTCCATTTCCCGATCTGCATTTTTACCTCATCTCATGTGGGAATCTGCTCTTTTTCACTTCAGCCTACTGCAGAAAGGTACAGCAAGCTCCAAAGGCCCATTCATTATTGAACTTTAGTTTCCTCAGCCTGTGCTCAAGTCGCTTCTGAGTATTCCCTTTCTTAAACTAACCAGATTGACTCCAAGGCTTAGCAGGCTTAGTGACATTTTCATCAACTTCTGAGTCAGCTCTGATCACTCTCAAATTTATCAGCAGCCTTTTGGGATCACAGCCAGGTTGGTTACAGAGCTATCAATGGGAGATGTAGTATCTCATCTCCAGCACAGAAGTTCTCATTTTCATATCCAAAATCCATGTTATCCCCTTCAGGCACGGTGTCCCACTGGAGCTGGGGCCCAGTTGTTTGCTCATTTGCTATGACTCCTTTTTTGCTCGTCTTTTTCAAAGCTGCAATGATTGAACAGTAGTAGTTGCACTGCACTTGTACATTAAGCTCTTTCGACACTTGTTACCCCAGTAGTCTGCTTGGTATCTGGGAAAGATGATGTATAAAATTTCTAGTGCAGTAAAAGCAGAACACGAGTGAAAAAGCCTGGTACAACTTAGGAAAATTAGAGTATAGATGTAGTTCCTACCTCACAGGTAGCTGCTAGACAACTTT